CCCCCCCCCCCCCCCCCCCCCCCGGGGGGAGGGCTCGCGCCTCCGGTGGCCAATCGACGCGGTCAGCCCCAAAGGGCAAGCCGCGGGTCGGCTCGGTGGGCTGGCGCGCGAACTCGGCTCGCCCCTTTCGCTGTCCAACGGGGGTGGGCGAGTGGTGCGATGCGCGCGATCGGGGCCAGCCCCTCCGGTATACCTGCCTCCGAGAGGCGCCGCCGGGAAAGCAGACCGTTTGCGGACCCCCTTTTTTTCCCCCTGCCCTCGTTGGTGATGTTACCTCGCGGTAAATCCGGCGAGCATGCCCTCCCGCACTGGCCTGGGTGTTGCTATGCGCGCCGCACGGCCGCCGGCCGGTGGCTTCCCCCCGCCGATGTTCCCTGCCAGCGCTGCGTGGTTGTAAATGATTCTCTCTCTCTCTCTCTCTCTGGGTAGGGCTGCCGTGGGGACCGAGTGCATTGTGGTGGCATGTACTCATGCGCATACGCGCGCGCACACACCCGCTTTCGGGCCATGTGCACATGAGGGAGCACACCGGAGAGCCCGGGGGTGAGCGCATGTTCTCGCCCGGCTGCATGCCCCGGCCGACAATTCCGCCCCCACGGAGGATGTACCCTCAGCCGCAGGGGCCTCATCCGACGCCGGCCCCCGCTCCCCCCCCCTGCGCCTGGTGAATTGGCCAATTTCCCTCGGTGTTTCAGTTCCGCGCCAGGTGGGGCGCCCCAGTTGGTTGTCCGGCGGCCCGGTCGCACAGGTGGGCCGGAGGTGGCATGAAACGCGCCGCCTCCGACGCTTGGGGCGACCAGCTTCTGCCCGAGGAGGACCCGATGCACGCGCGCTGGAATTCCCCCCCGCCCGATCTGACGATTTTGTACTCGCGCGCCCGGGGAACGCGAGCCCACAGACGCCAGAGGCGCCCCTATCCCGGAGTCGGTCGCATCACCGGGGCGTCGCACCAAGAGGAGCCATGCCCCCGGAGGGGACGGCCTGACCGACGGCGGCAGCGCTCTTCTCTCGCCTACCCCTCCCTGGCCTGTCTCCCCCCCCC